TTTATTTATCTAAACAGGAAAAAAGTGGGGTCAATATTATAAAAATCTAGTCAAATCCTTTCAAAGTTTTACATGAGATCAAAGTCAAAATAAATGAAAATATTTCAGCAAATGTATCACAAAAGGAACAAATCAATGTCCTTTTTAATTGTAAGAGCAAAAGGATTGACTGTTAGAACTTTAGAACTTTATCACGCACCAGGATGTGACATCATTTTGGAGGGAAAACGCAAGTAAGCAAAAAGCAGCAATGGATTTGATTTACTAAAGTCTGCTATACACTTATACAGCAATAAATTTCAACAAACTTTATTCATTTTTCATAAGTTCAAGAGTTCAGAAGGTTCTGAGCTAATACTACTCATAGTAGGCATGTTGATTGATTTACTGCCATCAGACACATTACAGCACTGTGTGTGTGTGTGTGTGTGTGTGTGTGTGTTCATTGATTTGCCCTACATCAGCTGAACATCCTCTGGGAGCACTGAGAGCAGATTGCTGACAACATCATTAGCTAATGCATCACTCCAACACTCACTGTCAATGTACATGAAGAGACTGCCAATAATGGCATCTCATTAGAACAACACACTTTAAACTCAAGCACAATAATGCCACCTTTATCGGAGGGATTTGCTATTACTGTCCATCATATTCCGGCTAATTTAAACTACCCAGAATAATTTAGCAACTGCACAGCAACAGCCCACTACAGATGACTTATGCACAGACAAACACTTGCTTTAACACTTGTTGTTTTGTGCACTAATTAGTAAATAAAATGTGGTTTTCGCAACTAATCTTAAAGTGTGTAAAAATATTTACGTGCACTAATCTTAAAGTATGTAAAATGCTGTTTTGTGCATTAATTAGTATATGAAATATTGTTTATGTGCACTAATTAGCATGTAAAATGTTATTTTTGTGCACTAATCTTAAAGTATGTAAAAATGCTTTCATGCACTAATCTTAAAATATGTAAACATGTTTTAGTGCACTAAGTAAAAATTATGTTTTCATGCACTAATCTTACAGTAAGTAAAAATGTTGTTTTTGTTCACTAATCAGTATGTACAAATTTAGTTTTCGTGGACTAATCATAAAGTACGGCTAGGGATGGTCCTAAATCCTTTCTAAAAAGAAACCAACTTCACGTCATGCCAAAGGAAATTGCACAACATCCTCGATTCACAGCGCGGCCTCGCCTCACCCATCCACTGTAAACAGATTGACATCAGAGAATGCAGCGCTTCAAGATGCCTCCAGACATGAAGTCAAGCAAACAAAGAAACAGTCACCTGAGGCTACAGACGGACGCTTCACTTTAAAATGCGTTCTATACCATGACTGCCATGTCCTGAGGTTACTGTAAATCATACACATTCTTATAAATCAGCCGAGTCAAAATCATTAAATCCTGAAGCATTTTAGCACTAGCAGACACTAAAGATGAAATTGGGCCACATCCAGAGGAGTGAGCATGACTGTTTGAGGTTATGGATCTATTGTGTTACATGAAAACATGCACATTCATCACTTTCAAGTAACATTTTTCTACAAGAAACTGAGGCATATGTGGTATATGGGACACTCACAAAAAAAACAACCTTGCTTTGCTAAGCATAATCAGTAAAAATATTATAAAAATTTATACTAAAAAAATAAATGAACAAATTCATTTAAAAAAAAATTATACATATATGTGCATGTGTGTGTGTATATATATATATATATACACACATACACACACACATATACATATATATTATAAAGACATCAACCAATGGTATCTGTAATTTTATTTGTAAAAAATTATGTAATATAAGGGGCGGAAGTCTGTTTTTATGACAATTAGTTGTGGTGTCACAATATTGCTCAGTTATTGTTAAACTAAAATTGTATAATTAAAAATACAGCAGGTATTTACTCAGGTATTTTATTAGTTTTGTACATTAACCGATCTGATTTTATCCTCATGATCTGCATAATAAAGCAGGTGAAATATCCCATAAATTTATATTAAAGGAGGGATTAACGTCTCAACACTCACGCTTTCTTCAGAGAAAGTAAACACTGAGCTGAATGAACGAACGACTGAATGGCTATTTTCCATAAATAAAAAAATCAATAAGTCACCTGTTTAATAGGGCAGGAGTGGATTGTTAGTCTAGTGTTTCTGTCAGACGTGGTTCTGGCTAATTAGGCCTGTAGTATAAATAGCAGTTCCAAGTCACATTAATTATAGCCCAGTCCAGAGGGAAATACACAGTTAAAATGATTACAAACTCTATTATGAGTAAAAAGAGAACAGGAGAACTGTGTAAAGTAAATATAGAAGCTGCTGCATGAGTGCAATGATAAAACTAGGACTGGATTTACATCCTCAGCTCAGAACTACAGGCCATCCAGGTTTACACTTACTGAAGGAACAAAATAAGTGTTATTTAGTATCATGTAAATATTATTGTAGTTTTTATTAATATTTTTAATTCGTTTTTTTTTTTCATTTTTATATCTCTATATAGTTTTTATTTTAGTTATTTTAGTATGATTTAAATATATATATATATATATATTTCTAATTAGTTAATTTTATATTTTATTTTTGATTTAAATTTTAGTTCAACTTTCAGTACTATTTTTTGTGTCATTTCTTTTCATTTTTCATTTTTACAGTTTTCAGTTTTCAACTAGCAAATTTGATTTATTTATTTATTTTAGTCATGGTTTTAGTTTTAATTTAGTTTTAATCAACTATATATAACCCTGGTTCAAATATCATTTAAATAGTTTGTATTCATATTTGGATTTTTTTAAAGTTTTGTTTTATTTAAGTTCTTTATATTTTCTTTCAGTTAACATTTTTGTCTGGTTTTAGTTTTAATTAGTTAACTATAAGAACTCTGGTTCAAGTTTAGGTTTTAGTCTTTGATTCTGTGTAAACGAGTGCTGAATCTGACCTGCTTTGCTCCCGTCAGCTATGCATACGCATCAACACATATCGCGATACCTTCACAGTGTACAGTAGATGCGAGATTTATGTCTGGTTTGTTTAATACTGTGTCTGTTTTAACAGTGAATACTGCAGATTCATGTGTGTAAATACACCGCTCCTCCGTTCGCCCCCTCATTCGCTCTCAGTGTGACCCAAGAAGGCCTGCTGCTGATCATCAAACCAGCGCTAATCTCAACATCCTCGCCTTCAGCTCTCGTACTGATCTCACGCTGCTGGAGTGTGATCAGATGGAACGCACGGATCAAACTGAAGGTTACACATAGATCTATTCACCAAAAACAAGTGCATTAGTACCAGGCCTAGTTTAGAAACTCCCTCCATGCAACACTATTGTAAGAAACTGGTACCAAATGACACGAGCAACAGGCGGGTAGCATAAGCACGGCTCACTATCTGTCTGCAGATGGCCTTGTCTGTCTGTCTGTCAATCTATCTGTCTGTCCCCGGCAGTATCAGTATCAAGGTCCAGGCGTCATATTTAGCTCAGTAAGGTCGCAAAGTGTTATGCACATGCTGGCATGTCTCTACTCTCTACTGTACTTCAGCTCTCTATACAGTGGTATGTGAGAGTATGTTGTTGAATATTGAACAGTCTCTGTTTGATGCTGTTACTGCTGCAAATGTACCTTCAGGCATCAACTAATGAATGATAATTTAGTAGCGTAATTTACTGTACATTAACCCTCCTACAAAACCCTTCAAAAACATGTCCACCCCGAAGCCCTAGTTAACAGGGAACGTTCTCTGAACGTGTTGATAGTAGACATAATAGAACATTTGTTCAAAGTTAATATTATTCTCAAAATGTTAGCACAAAAACATCATTTATACATTTATTCAAGAAACATTTTTTCTGGAACGTATGCTGGATGTTCGTCTAACTTTTTTCAAATGTTACTACTTCAGAGAACATTCAAAAGTAACGTTCAAAAAACATTCTTAGAAAATTCTGGCAATGTTATGAACAAATGTTTTCCTAGTAACATTAATAGAAGATTTGTTCAAAGTTAATAATCTTCTCAGAACGTTAACACAAAAACATGTACACATCGCTCAAGGAACTTTTTTCCCTGAAATTTTGGCTGGACGTTTGTCTAACATTTTTAAAACGTTATTACTTTTTTCAGAATGTTCAGAGAACATTCAAAAGTAACATTCTTGGCACATATTTTGTTAGCTGGGACTACTCAGCAAAAAAAATTTAATTGTTAAACTAATTGTTTGGCACTGAAACAGTTAATGAATTTTAAACACATTACAGAACAACTGTTTTTCCTTTGATCCTGAAATGAAACACAACCCGGAAAAGATTCACGCTCAAGTGCAACAATGTAGCAAGAACGATTCGATCGCGCCAGACCTCAACACTTCAAGAATCATTTGTGCTACACTGTAACATTTGAACTGAAGCTTTGGCGCCGCACGCTCACGCGATCTTTCGGCTTCACCCGCCACGGCAGCGAACATTTAAACACTGATGTGACCAGAAAAGACAGTAAGAAACAAGACCACTAGGATTATTTAGTGACAGCAGCGTGGCCGCTGATGACGCGTCCAGACGCGCGTCGCAAGCACAGAACGCGCTCGGCTGTTCAAAACCAGCTAGAACTAAACGCTTTGATGTTCAAAGTTGTACTTCTTGACACACCATCTTAAAACGCAGCGGTAAAAGACGCCAGTATGACGCACCGCAAATGGAACGCAACAAAAACGCGTCCTCCTGTATAATTACAGGGTTGAGAGCTGCTCCGGGTCGATAGGTAGATTTTACATCCTTCACTCTTCAAGAATCCAGATCCGAAACACCCTCAATCGGGTTTCAAAGCACACGTGAACGCATGGTTAAGCACATTGAGCACGTTCTCTTTCTCAAAGATGCGTCAACCAAACGCCACGCGTTTTCTCTCATAACGGTACATACGGGATTGAAAAGTGAAGCTCCATTTGGCTCCTAAACAGAAGAAAGCAGAATATCTCGCCTCACCTTGATCATGAATCACGCCGGGTGAAGATGTTCCGAGCCGCAGCAGCGCGTCTCTCTCTCTCTCTCTCTCGCCTCTGGAGACACAAGCATGTGTGTGTGAACTGGGTGTGACTCCACACACAACCACTCAATACACTTTCTACACGAAAACTAAAAGCCTTTGGCTTTGCACTTCCTCATTCAGGACTAGTCGGTTTTAATGATTTGTCTTACTAGCTATTTAGAATCACTGCTTGAGAAAAATCCATACGTTTTTGAGAAAACCAAAGTGGCTTTCATTACTGACAGAAAATACATATAGAAGTGTTAAACAGACCCTAAATGTGCTGATGGATGCCTAGATTAAATAATTCATATGCATCAAGTACTCAACAGAGCACTTATTATTATTGCTCGCATAACTCAGCTTGTGCATTAATAACTTGTTCAAACTCTTTGAGGATTTGAGTTTTACCTCTCTAAATATTGTGTCTGCCCTCAAGACGATACATTTGCACTTGCAAACCCAGCTAACAAAAATATGTTCCAAGAACGTTTATGAAAATGTCATTTTTGAATGTTTTCTGAACATCCCGTTTTTTAAATGTTTTTACAATTCTTCTTATACGAACGATAAGGGAACATTCTATTTTCTATTTTTGCAAATGTTATGGGAACATTACTTGTGAATGTTCTCTAAATGTTCTAAAACAAGCAGTAACATGTAAAAACCGTTAAGTGAACATCCAACTAAAACGTTTCAGAAAAAAGATCTATGAAATATAAATGACATTTTCATGCTGACATTATTCAAGACCAGATAACACTCTATTAATGTTCCTGTAACATTTCTTCATAACTTTGAGAGAAACTTGCCATAAAGTTCTGAGAACACTTCCTGTTAGCAGTGAAGTTACTGAATATGTTAACGTATTTTGCATTGTTCAAAAGCACATTTCTCATCTAATCTGAAAACTGTCTGCTCCCTGGATGTTGTTGTTCTTTTCTTTCCATTGCGTTGTCTGCAAGCCAAACAATCGGAGATAAAGTGAGAACTGGAATACCACATAATGCAAAAGACCTTCATGATAATCATAGTGGAATTCCAAACAGCACGACGAAAATCAAGCTGGATGGGCGAGAACAGATACTTAAAAAAATAAAATAAAACAGACGTTATTGAGCTACTGACAATAAAAACAGCATACAAAGTTGTGGGGCCACAAGACAATAGAAACTGACCATTCAGTTAATATAACACATACTCTGAATAATACTGGCACTTTATTGCTACTATTTAATGTTGTCATCTTGGTTATTAGGCTACTTTTCTCATAATCAGTTTAGAAAATGAAGATGACCAAATGGCATCCTCTAGGACTTTATTTACATGGTCAGGAAACCTTCTCAGAACGTTGCGGCAAGGTTCTCTCAATGTTCCAGTAATGTTAATAGAACATTAGTTCAAAGTTATCTGGTCTTTGGTAATGTTCTCAAAACGTTAGCACCAAAACATTCACAGAACGTTTTTCTGAAACCTTCTCAGAACGTTCTGGCAAGGTTCACTCAAAGATGTGTTTCAGTAATGTTAATAGAATGTTTGTTTAATGTTATCTGGTCTTTAATAACATTTTCAAAATGTTAGCACAAAAACATGAAACTTTTTCGGGGGAAACATTTTGAGAACGTTGTGGCAAGGTTCTTTCAATGTTCCAGTAACATTAATTAAACTTTGTTCAAAGTTATTTAATAAGGTTCTCAAAACTAAAAACATTATTTCGACATCATTTATGGAACATTTTTCTGAAACGTTTTAGTTGGAATGTTCGTCTTTAGAACAGTCTAACGTAACATTCCCACGTTTGCAAAATGAAATAGAATGTTCCCTTAACATTTGTATAACCAAAAACAACATGTAGCTTCTAAACATTTACTGCAACACTCAGAAGTAATGTTTTCAATAACAGTTGGAACATTAGCAAAACGTTCTTAGAACATATTTTTGTCAGGAAAGGTTCTTCAGTGCACAAATAAGGTCAACTGTGTGTTTCATAATGAAGGCGTTTAATTCTAGATGATCTTCTACAGAGGAACATGCCTGCAGTCTTACTTTAATGAAACACACTTGCTGTGATCGCAATACACAAAATTGCATGAAGATATCTGACCTCCATACTAGTACAGACCTGTTACAGCAGGCCCAGCTGTAGGTCCTGGGAATATATAGAGCTTCATGTTGGTGTAGTGTTTTTAGGCCTGCACATCAGCTTATAATGAACTAAATGAGCAAATGCACCTATCTAAAAAAAGAAGTGCATTAACCGCAAGGATGGACGCCTATTTATGTGAATTTACTCGAGGTGTAATTATAGCAGAGAAACATTATCTCAGTAACAATGTTCACACCCATATTTTCTTTACACCCTCAGCCTACTTCCCCAGAACATCCCACTCACGATTAGAAAGAATTCAACGTTAAAACCTGTTTGAACAAGAACAGCATCCCTCTTTAAAATAAAATAAAATAGTGGCTTCAGTATGAAAAATTGCTCACATTTAAAGTGTTTTGAAAAGAAATGAAAAAATGCAAAGCAACGAAACAAAGTGGTTTGTGTAGTCGTTTACCTGACCCATATCCAGAGATCAGGTTTCATTCAAGCGTTTCAACAAATACTTAAAGGCATACTCCACCCCAAAATGAAAATGTTGTCATTATTCACTTACCCCTTATGAGAATACTTTTTGTAGGCAAAGAAAACAAAAATAACGACTTTATTCAACAATTCGTACGTCACTTTGGAGAGTATCCACTGAACGCAAACTGTATGCTGTTCTGTGTCAGCCACACCACACGGATATGTTTTCTACGTTTATTTACGCTTTGATTTGAATGAAAAAAGCGTATCCGTGTGGTGTGGCTGAAACAGAACAGCATACAGTTTGCGTTCAGTGGATACTCTCCAAAGTGACGCACGAATTGTTGAATAAAGTCGTTATTTATGTTTTCTTTGCCTACAAAAAGTATTCTCATCGCTTCATAAAATTCAGATCGAACTACTGATGGCAGATGGACTATTTTGACGAGGTGTTTCATACTTTTCTGGGCCTTGACAGTGTTATTTACTTGGCAGTCAATGGGACAGTCACAAGCCTCCCGGTTTTCATCCAAAATATCTTAAATTGTGGAGTATCCCTTTAAGGACAAGGCACTCAGTTCACAAGGAAACACGACCACTGCTGGTCAAATCATGGCATTGAAAGTTTAAGCCTTTTTATAAGGGTTTCAGTGGCGCCCCCATACGGCCATTCAGAGTTAGACATGATAAGCACAGTACTTTATTCACTTCACTCATCTATATACTGATATTATATTGTAATCGCCTATTAAATAAACATTTCCTGACTGGAAACTACTCTCAGAATTACTGGAAGCAATCATTATTCTACTTTAAAAATGTTCTTATTGGACAAACATTTAAAATTCAAAACAAAATTTACAATTACAAGCATTAAAATACTAATTTCTGCATCTATGGAACTTCATATTTAGAACATGTGTATGGGGACAACAAAACAAAAGACAAATCTAGTGTGAAAAAATTTATTGATTGGCAAAAATATTCTGCAATAGTAAAAATGAATATATTACATCAGGTAGCCCACATCAGTCATGAATCTAGTGCAAATATTTATATATGTGGACCGAACTACTTCAATTGTCAATGAACAATGGAGGAAAATGCATCAGAGAAGGTCAGCCAAAAGCAAGACCTGAATAAACTTCAGCTGTAAACACAAGCTGCAATGCTCTGGTCTAAAACATTTTTTTAATAAGATTTTCAAGGCAAAATGGACTTACCTCTCAGTCCAGATGGTTATGAGGGAACAGAAACGCACAACGTAGATGCTTGTCCACTTCACTACCAGAGGATGCGGTTGCAAGAACCACTAGAATTACTCCAACATTGAGCTTACTCTAGTTACAGTGATAAACCATCAAAAACACACCAATAAAAGCCCACAGGCCTCAAGTTTACATAAACCCTAATCTCTCATCCAAACAGATGCAGTGACCAATGCACAGGTCATGTCACGTGTCAAATACCCAAAAGCACAGTTCTCAAATGTCTTTATGCATTCAAAGTTTCAAAATAAAGTACTTGAATATTTACATTAAGCAGCGATACCCTTGCATATTGAAATGCTGCTTATTACATCACTAACAAACAGCTGCCGAAAGCAGTCTACATATAGAAAACTGAGCAATCTAAAAAACTGACCTTTTTACAAGTTGGGAACAGAAATTGGAAACTCTGTACAATGAACTAATGAAACAAATTTGCATCAAGCTATAAAAGCTTACTGAAATAGTGATACTGAAAATGAAAATGTGTTGAAAATGTACCCACCCTCAGGCCTATACTTCCAAGATATAGAAGAGTTTGTTTCTTCATGGGAACAGATTTACAGAAATCTAGCATTATATTAGTGAATGGGTGCCGTCAGAATGAGGGTCCAAACAGCTGATGAAATCATCACAATAATCCACACCACTCCAGTCAATCAACTAACATCTTGTGAAGTGAAAAGCTACAATTTTGTAAGAAACAAATCAAGACATTTTTAACTTCAAATGATTCCTCCAATAATATTCTGCAAGTGATGTGATGCTAAATTTCTCCAAGTCTGTTTTGATGAAGAAACAACTCATCTACATCTTGGATGGACTAAGGGTGAGTAAATACCGCATTATTTCTATTTCTGGGTGAACTTTTCAATCTAAATCTAGCAGAATCAAACATAAGAGGAGACTTATTGAGGGACAAAGTACATTATGTCCTATATATACACACACACGAAGATTGGATATATACACAAATCAATGCACACATCGGCAGCAGGGATGTCAGACAGACATTACAAATGCAGAATATTTTGTACTGATCATATTTACTAAACATACCTGATTTTAACACAAAAATGACTATAAAAATTGAGCATATTTTAGATTTGAATTGTAGAGCTTCAATTACAATCAAGAAAACCACTGAAAATTTAAACCCTGTATGAATTGGCAAATAATTTAGAATGTGAACAGGAATTACACAGATACTACACAAATTAATCCATAATCCAAACCTCATAAAATTGGGTAAAATTGGAAAAGGCACAATGGCACAGTGACTATAGAAAGTTAAGATGTCAAACAACCTGAAATGTGTTTCTGAAATCAAACCAATTAATCTGATATTCAAGTAGTAGTAGTAGTTTTGGAAATGTGCAATTCTGAACTATAAATAAACAGTTGGTTGGCTAAATGTTCAACCCAGTAACCCAAACTAGCAGATCAAATATAAACAGGCAACAACCCCAGTACACGCTTTATTACAACACAGATTCTATTTAATAATCAAGGCAAAAGACACTTACAAATATTATATTGACGAGGGAAAATGGAAGAAACATGAAACCAAAAAGAGGATCCTATAAAAACAAATCTAGCTAACTGACAATTTACAACATTATAGTAGTTGGAAAGTTGTTTTGTGTTTCGAACAAGCAGGCAAAAAATTCTCTTGCTGAACTGACTTTAGCACACAGCTACTTCCAAATAAAAGTAAAAAATAAAAAAGAGCCGTCAGGAATTAAGAGTGAGTATATAATATTTTACAGAACTCTAGCGCTGCAGAGTGTGTCCGGAGTCCGGCGCTCTCCGTGACGCTGTCGGATGAATCCACGTTGCTCCTGACGTCTCTCCTCCTCCTCTTGCGTTCAGCTGAAAGGTGTCAAAACGAAGGTGGCAGTTTGTTTTGGGGCACAGAACCCAGAAACACACAGAGCTGCTTTCCCCCTCTACATATACACAGGCATGCAAACAATTTTACGATTACAAGCATTACGATTACTGTAATAGTCTAAAGCAGGGGTGTCAAACTCAGTTCCTGGAGGGCCACAGCCCTGCAGAGTTTGGCTTCAACCCTAATTAAAAACACCTGATCCAGCTAATCAAGTCCTTCCGGCTTATTTGAAAACTACTGCTGCATCCGAAAACTAAGGCAGCTGACTTGCTGCCGTATGAGGCAATGACTTTGCATGCAGCGTTTTTGCACGAATGCACCTCATGAAACTGATTTCGGACAGGCTTCTGAGGCAGCGTAACGGTTTAATGATCTACAACAAAATAGAACAAGTTTTTGCGATAACTAAATGAATATTACTATAACATCAAAAGTGCAAAAAGTTAAGTCAGAAATATACATTTACACACAAACTGACCACCAAATGCAACTTTCAGATGCCATCTTTATTTTTTTAGCTCAACCGTCACAGAATGGAACGCACAGGATTGTGGGATATCAAAGACAGCGAAGGATACATCTATGCTGCCTTCAAAATTCAATCAGAAGAAGGTACCTCCGGAGACAGGAAGTAAAGCAGAATTTGGATTCGGACGTGCCTTGATGCCTTCCTGCCTTGGAACACTGCCTCCGAAGGCAGCATTTTAAAGAGTTTTCGGATGCAGCTCCAATGCTATGTGTGGTGGATCAGGGTTGGAACTAAACTCTGCAAGGCCGTGGCCCTGGTCTACACACCCCTGGTCTAAAATAACATTTAAATGTAGTTGTTTCACAAAAGCACAGAATTTGGTAAAGTACAACATTAAATGCAGTCATTAAAACTGTATTTGAGACAAGCCCCTGGAATCAGTGTATAAATACAGTGAAGAGACGACACAATCAAAGACATTGGCATGCACAACTATGAAACACTGTACTCAACACCACAACTGAAGCAAATATTTCATTTTCACTCTGATGGACTTAGTTAAACCAAAAATGAAAATTTACTGAATTTGACCTCCAAGATGGAGATGAGTTTGTTTCTTCATCAGATTTGGAGACATGTAGCATTCCATCATTTGCTCACCAATGGATGCTCTGCAGTGAATGGGTGCCGTCAGAATGAGAGTCCAAACAGCTGATAAAAACATCACAATAATCCACACCACTCCAGTCCATCAGTTAACGTCTTGCGAAATAAAAACAAATCCATCAAGACCTTTTTTCATTTCATATAAGCCCTCTATACTGTATATCAGTGGTTCTCAAACCTGTCCTGGAGTACCCCCAGCCCTGCACATTTTGTATGTCTCCCTCATCGATCACACCTGATTCAACTCATCAGCTCATTAGTGGAGACTGCAAGACCTGAAGTGGGTGTGTCAGATATATGGAGACATACAAAATGTGCAGTGCTGGGGGTACTTCATGGAGAGGTTTGAGGACCACTGCTGTATATAATATTGCTTGCTCCAGTGAAAAAGTCGTCTCATCTGGATCAGGAGAGAAATCTGCACAGATCAAGAATTGCTTACCAGTTAAAATGGTCCAAAACAGATCTAAACAAACGTGGGTTGATTTTAATGTTAGAGGACAACAGGAGATGGACTTTTTCCTCTGGAGGAAGCATTTTTATGGATTATGGACTTGTATTTTGGCCAGAAGCGATGGTTTGAAGTTAAAAATGGCTTAATGATGGACTTGTTTCTTACAAACATTCAGCTTTTGGCTTCTCAAGACATTAACTGATGGACTGGAGTGGTGTGGATCACTTGTGATGTTTTTATCAGCTGTTTGGACTCTCATTCTGACGGCACCCATTCACTGCAGAGGATCCATTGCTGAGCAAATGATGCCACATTTCTCCAAATCTGATGAAGAAACAAA